ATGTAATACCCCAAAATTTTATGCTATTTTAGCATTTAAGTAAGGGTTTTTGTGTGAGAAAATATTATTTTGGGCTTAATAGCCAAAAGTTTGAAAGTTGAGGGACTTAAAAGAGGGAAAGATTTTGGATAAGGATGACTTCTTTTCTTTTTCTCCTTTTTCTTTCTTTCTTTTCTTCCTCCTCCAGCCCGCGTGTTCTGCTCTTCTCCTTCCCGCTGCAGCCACCCCAAAGAAAAAAAAAGAGGAACCCAGCCAGCCTTTGAGAAACCGTTAGAGAGCTTGGTTTTTGGCCTTCTTTTCTCGTCTAAGAACCTGATTTGAACCCAGAAATATCCCTCCTTCCTCTGCAGTTTCGGATCTGCTCTGCTTGTCCGCCGACTGCTGTTGCTAGGCCCGAAATTCTGGGCATTTTTCTGGTAAGAGCAGCCCCTAATTTCCTTTGTTCTTGCTTGAATTGGCTTGGGTTAACTTTGATTGCTCTTATTTCCTTTAATTTTGGGTAGTTCCGTGAGCTTCCCCCTGCACTTGCCGCCGGCTTCTCCCCCTGCCAAGTCCGGTTCTGCAACTGGAAAATTTATGGTAGGTTGGCTTCTCTAATTCTCGAAAATTGGTTGATTAGTGGCTGCTTTGTGATGTCTGAATTTGGCTAGAAAATGGGGAAATTCCAGTAGCAATTAGGAGGGATTTAAGTGTGTTTTGTTGCTTAATTCATGTGTAAATTGCTTGAGGTGATTGTTGTGATTTTTGGAGAGAAAATCCCGTGAGATTATCTAGTGTTTTGGCCAATTTTGGAAGTTGGAGTTACTGTTCATGTCGGGGTTACTGTTCACATGGTACTGTTCACCGACACTGTTCACACTCCGAGGGCCAACAATTAACGGGGATTTAAGTGATTAGTTTGTGATATGAGAATGAATTTGGAGATGTCCGATCATGTGGAAAGTGATAGGAATAGTATCGGGATTAAGAGTGACTTGATATTTTAGTTTGAAATTGTGATAGTCTGGTATTAATCCGTGGATATTTTGATTAGGTTCCCGATCGTCCTGTCAGTTTAGTACGTGAATTGAGTGCTCGGTTTTATGCAAGTGAGGTAAGTAAATTTATGGTAATGCCCGTACTGTTTTTAAAAGCATGTTTTGATTTGTTTTTGAAGTGGTGGCGGGACTAAACCCGTTTTACACAAGTATGACTGATTTGAAGTGAAATGTTTTATGCTTTTCACTAAATTGAGCATGCCTACTTGAAATTTGAGTGACTGTCCTGATGATCTGAAAGTGATTGTGAATCGTGATTTTCCTGTTAACTTCTGCCTGTTTTGTCTCCGATGTGGTCATGTTATTCGTGTGCCCGCTAGTGGGAGGTTTATAAACGCTAGCACATGTCGACATGTTATTGATAGAACCGGTTCGCTCGTGGCCCTACTAGTGGGGATTATACACTAGTACTCGTGTGCCCGCCAGTGGGAGGTTTATAACACTGGCCGTGACCTATAGAGGAGACGTCTATTTCGTGCCCGTACCGTATCTGTTTTCCTGATTGTACTTGTTGGCATGCTTTAAGTTTGATAAGGGCAATCCATATTTACTTACTGAGTTTATCTCATAGTTTTTCCTTGTCCACCATTTCAGGAAGTGAAAC